TGCTCGGTCGTACAACACGAGCGTAAATGGGCTTCCAGGGAACGACGGCAAGTATCCTACACTTCTTGAAAGTACCTATGACGCTGTCTTACAATATTGATTGCTTTTTATCTGTAGATTCCGGAGCGATGGGCAGCTACGTCGTCTTTAATATGCTCGGGCTGTACCCGTTGCCCGCGACGCGCGAGTTCCTCGTCTCCTCGCCGTACTTTCGCACGGTCCGTGTGTACAACCCTGTCATGCGCACGACGACAACAATCAACGCACGCTGGGCTCGCGGGAACCCCGCAGATGGACGTGGGGGGATGATCTACGTTAAGGTGTGTATATATTCACAGGATTTCTTTCCACATCTTCCTGCAAGAATAAGAGTTTTGTATTCTGACTGCAATATGCGTTAAGAGTATACGAATTAACGGCCAGCCGTGGCACTCGAATTGCTACATCGAGTGGATTGTGTTTGAAATCGGCGCGACGGTGGATTTGGAGCTCACGGACGACCGGACGGGCACATGCGGTGCGGCAGAGAGCAGCCTCCCGCCTTCTTTATCTACGGGTGGATATGGTGTGTTATACGGAAAATAATATTTCACCAAATGGTGGGAGATGTACCATGATATTCATTTGTGGATTCGCAGTGAGATAACTCGACGTTTAATAAGAAAAGGTCTAACAAGGGATCTCGAACTGTGTAGAAGTCGGAGATCTGCGACATGCCCGAAAAGGTCAAGTCAGCGCCGAAAAGGTCTACTAGTCTGTCACGTGCTATATCGGAGTTCGAACTTTGTCTTGGACCGCATAAAGTCGCGTCCCTTCGCGCCCTCCACCGTCAGCCTCTCTTTCCCTCCTACCACCACCTCTTCTGCGAGAAAAACTCCTACCTCAGCATGAGGAGTCCACAGTATGCCGCTCATTAATCCAGGTAAGCAGCTCTCCTCCATTCATCGCAGCTTTACCTGACGGCCCATTGAGCAGAGCGTGTGCCACCTAACTACCGCCAGCCTAATTAGCGCATACCACCATGCTAACGTCAATGCGACAATCTCTTCGTCGACGATTACCCTTCTACTCTTTCGGCCAATTTTTATGGCTGAATGACGATGCTGCTTCTTGAATGTGAGTAGCCATTTGGCGGTATACCTCCTTGCCACTAATCTCTTCCCTTCTCAGACACATCCTCGCCTAGCAGTACCCTACCCGAGTCTTTCTCCTATATGCCATCTATCACTCCTTGCTGTATTCATGTTACGACAAATCAAGACCCTTGTGTTTCGCCGTCCGTCGACTCAGGCGACCTCTCAACTTCCATAATGTGGCATTCCGATGTGGTCTCAGCTCCGCCCGGCTTCGGCCGCCAACGGAGCGGAGACGGACAGGTCTGCTGGCGAATAGCCGCGGAAGTTCACGTCGTACGGAGCCAGCCCTCGACTTCCGTAATGTAGCTAGACCGATGGTGTCAGCCCCGTCCAGCTGCGCGCTGTTGGCGGGGTGGCAGACATGTCTGCTGCGCGGAAGTTGGCGCTGCTCGGATGTGTCCAGTCGAAGCAAGCCGCTGTCTAGCTTTGCGCTGTCAGCGGCGTCAGCCTCCTGGGCCTCCGAGGATGCCGTGTGGCATCGCAAGACTCCTATGTCAGACTTGGACCCTTACGGCTCTTGCTGTCATCTCATGGTGTGTTATTTGCCGCCCGCAGTACACTCCTAAATTTTTTTACTGACATTTTCTGTCGCTTTCGGCAGTTTCATATTATGGACACTACCCGAAGGAAGAAGAAAGGAGAGAATAGCAGAGTCTGTCGATTTTATAATTTGTACCATGCACATCTACAGAGTAAAGCACCCCGATGAATGCCTTAATTTCGACCTTTATTCTGATTGTCGGAGACCACGGCGCAAGGCAAATGGAATGGAATGTGATAATCGTGCACATACTGAGACTGAACTCGAATAACGGAAGGCACCAAGTTCGGAATTTACTGTTCCGTAATCCGTTGATTAGCAATGTCCTTACTGCACTATCTAGACACGTAGGCTTGAGGTTACACATATATGAAGCACACAGCGCAGTCATGCTTTCCGTTGAGAACAGTTTCCGGTTATAGGTGCTATTAAAAGGACGAGAGCATTTTGCTTATCAGTGTTGAATAGCAAATGTAACCTAGAAAGCTACTTACCCGTGCACAAAGCCCGCAAGAGTCCTTCACAACCGCACGCGATAAGGAAGACGAAGATTAAGATTGCGGCAGAGCGACGCGTACTGGTGCCGGGGACGGTATAGTATTGTTTGAAATGAGGAGGCGTAACCGCTCTTTCAATGACTTGCGTGTCCGGCGGGACGTCGAAGCGACGCCGCCGGGTATAGCGTGGACAGGTATCGGCGCGGAGGCGCCGGCGCCATAGGTGCTCGCGAGCGCACCAAAGGCAGCAAAGAAGTCTTTCTGGGGCGTGCCGATGGTGAAGGAGGAAGTCGATGAGGAGTAGGACGAGCACGAGGTGAGTGAAGGCGCGGTGATCGGCGGTGAGCCTGGGAGGAGAGGAGAGCTGAAGCTGGAGCCGAATGGGAAGGGCGTTTTGGGCCTCAGTCAAGAAGATAATTGCCTGGATGTATGAAGCTGGGTGAAAACGACAAGGGAGCACACGGTGAGCTGAGAGCGGGCGAGTGTGGCGAAGCGAGTCCTGATGGAGATTGTATCGACTGTAATGAAAATCTCGTCCTTGTATTTGGATAAGATCCTTATTGAATCAGTCAGGAATAGTATCACTCGCGCGAAGTGTATTGCGACTGGCAGAACGCAGGTGCACTGTCCTGAGGATCGCGTATCAGGATATCAAGCGATGTAAACGAAACGCCGACAGGTTCTATTCAACATCAGGCCGCGGAAGTATATGTCGCAGTCCATCTCAGCGTGTAGTTCCCAAACACCATCTGCAGGCGAGTAGACAAGTCAAGCAAGCGCAGTCAGACACAGAGCGAAAAGGTACCGCAGGCCAGACCAAGTACGAGCCCCCAGTCAGGAGTGTTAGCCCGTCTTCTACTGTATAAGGTTTCCACTTGTCGTATAGACGGAGGTAAACATGTCGGAAGGAGATCATGAAGAACTTGATGGAATCGAAACGGACTTCATAATAGGTTCAGGAAGGAAGAGAGCTCGAGCGCTGATGGCGTGTCAGAACGCGGAACGAAAAGATGAAGGAAACACAGCTGAGTTTGTTTGATCGCTTAGAGCGCCTGGTCCGTGCGCGCTCGTCGTTCGTATAAGACGCTGCCATAGACAAAATGAACAACTCATACTTACCTTGATGGCGCATTCCCCTTCATGTCTTGGGAGTGCGGGCCATTGGGGCCTCCCATAGCACGGCGACCATGTCCTCAGGGGGCGTCTTTGGTTTGTATGCGGTTTATGCTGCATGCACTGTCTCAATATTTTCCAGTCCCTTTTCGGCCCTCGGGCTGGGAGGGCTCTTCTTTTTTTGGTTTCTGAGCGGCTCTAACCCTAACCATATTAATATTGTATCTACATGTCAAGTAATAAACTAGCTTATGTACTCTGACCTGATCATCGACAATAGCACTGCTATACTGCTAGTAGCTACCTGCTGGAGCAGACCGCCGACCACCGTGTCGCCCGGGTGGCACCGCTCAGCACATCTCCTCTTAAACTTCTGTCAAAAGATTTCATCCTGACAAGAAAATTCTGTCTGGTTTACGACTATCACGACACCCATGGCTCATCAGTAGAGTCGCCACATCGTACACGACAGCTCTCGATGTCGATGCGAAATGACTACCAAAATGCGGACGGCGAGCTTGCAGACGACCTCGAGCGGTCCATCTTTATCTTTCCCAATCCTGGATCTGAGTCGAGCCCGTCAAGCCCTCTGTCCATCGCGACGGACGTGAGCTTTCCTTCGGACTCTGCGATGACGACGGCAACTAGAGGCCGGAGGGGAAACAGTCTGAGTACGGACTGGGAAGCACTCTCGCCTCGTAGCGTCAGCGTGGACTCTTCCAGTCTGCGTTCGCCGCTCGTCGAGATTTGGGAAATGTCTTCAGTCGAGAACGCGGAACCCGGCGCGAACGCAGACGACATGGGCACTACGGAGCTCGAGGCGGCTGTCGAGCGTGCAGGTCGGAAGGACGCGCTGGTTCTGCACGGATCGCAGCGGCGGTACCCGCTGGGCAGGCAGCCGTTCCCGAACACATTCACCTACGTTGATGGGCGATTTCAAATTCGAGGTCGGGAGCGAACGGAGAGCCTCATCTCAGCTGTTGACGGGGAAGACAGCTCTCCGCACGGCCGTATGAAATCGGCATCCGTGTCTAATCCCTCATCTTTCCAACGGTCGCATTCTCACCGTCTCCCGCTGCTCTCATTCTTCTCCTCGTTCTTCTCAATCGACGACTCGACATTGCATCTCCTCACGCGTCCTCCGCATCCCCTCGCGTCTCCCCTTTTCCAAGGCGCGCGGCTCCAGTCGGGTGACGATGCCGATACCATGCTCAACGACAAGCACATACTTTTCAGCTCTTCGGAGATGGCGAGCCTGAAGGAAGGCGTCGAGGCTGCGACCGACCCTTCTGTCACTCCACATAACATATTTGCGCTGCCTCTGCCTTCTCTAACGTCGCTTCCATCCCTGCCCTTCGCGTGCATGTGGTATCTTGTGAATGGTGCATACAGCGCCCCGAAGAGAATGTGGGTGGGGACTCGACATCAGGCTTAAGCTCATGCATCATCTTTAAAAAAGACTCCCCAGCTCGTTTCTACGTCTTACAGCCACGCAGACACTTCTAGCATACACCATATGTTCGGATTCGAACTGTTATAATACTTCGCTCACTGTATACTACTACTCTGTTTGTACGATATAATAATAACATGTATGCGATATCTAGTACAGCGCCGGTCTGGGATGTTAGACTTTGATGAAACCAACAAAACATGTTATGTTATAGTTGGGGGAAGAACACAAAAAAGTAGAGGAAATGAGTGAGAAAACAATGACTCAGCCAGGAATTGAACCTGGAACCATCTGTGAACTCGACGACCACATCAAACTATGTTAGACAGATATCATAACCGCTAGACCACTGAGTCACGTAAAGTAAATAAATATATTACATAACATATCCGTTAAGGATGCCTCGGATGCTTCCCTCTTCCCTAGCTTCGTGTCGAAATATTTTTTGTGTTCATCAGTTCTGCGTATCATCAGTGACATCGAAAAGCTGGGCGCATTTGATTCACTCGCGCTCAAAGCTTCAATCTCACACCGTTCAATTGAGGATGATGTCGCTCCGAATCTCGTACATGTAAAATGATACCCCCATGTGGCTCATCCCTGAACTCTACATATGCTAAGTAAAATATTTTACTATACGAAAATCTCCCGGACAGTCAAGGAAGATCAAGATATGGTATACTTTGTTCGATCTCGCTCCTGCGTGAGCCAGAAGATGTAGCAATGACCGCTGTTGCGTTATACCAGAGCTTCTTTGCTGTATTGAGAAGTACGTATGTACATGTAGCTTTAGTTCTCGGCATGATTTAGACCTGACAAAGAGCTTTGAGTAGTGCCGGCCTGGAAGACATAGCTTATATAGAAACGGGGACGAGTGATTCTGCAAATCTGACCTACGGTCAGAGCAAAAAAAACAAAGGAAATTTATTCCCTCTATTTACAGTATCGTCGCTGAGACTAAGTGTATGCTCGAGCGCAACGAGATCATACTCCGTATTTTCAGAAATCATCAAAAAAAAAAAAATGCGCGTATTATCGGACCAATAAATGAGATGATCTACAAATACTGAGACAACTGCGACGGGGCTTTATCCTTCGGCGATTATAAAACATCTAGTAAGAAAAACAGCGTATATGCATGTCTACGGCACACAAAAATCACAGGGAAATTAAACGTTCAAAACCTTTAGAATTTCGTGAGTTCGTCGTGTTAAAAGCTGATTCGGAAGTTGGATACGAACAATATCATCGTGAGCCGCGTCCAGAATGCAACTTTCCCGAGCTCTCTATCCGCTTGTCGAGCGGATCATCGTTTGACGTCCGACGCGTGAAGCTACTCGAAGTAGAAGTGCGTTGAGCAGAGTGAGTGGAGGAGAGGAGGTCCGGGTCGCCTGAATCGGGACTGCGACAACGCCACCACCGAATCCGTAAGACGATGAGAGCGCACCGAAAGCTTGCTCGTAGTTCTTCGGCGTCGGAGCCGGCGTCGATTTTGACGACGTAGCAATGGTGGAGACGGTAAGGGTTTCCTGTGAGTCGATGGACGAGCGCCGAGAGCTCAAGTCTGCGTCAGGTGATGACGAAAGGGGGCTACGCGGCTTCCGTACGCAAAACGCGCGAGAGGGAGAATGTCGAAGATGAAGAAGCCTTCGGCTTCGAAGGAGTGGCGTGTTTGGGCTTGGGCTTAGGCTTTGGCGGCGCCGTGCTGTCCATGATACCGTACACGTCCTGGACGGCGAATGGGGTGGGGTAGTCACGATAGATGAGAGGCATAGAGGTAGACGTAGAAGTAGTGGTGCTCGTGCTGATAGTCGAAACGAGAATGGTGGGCACTGAAGTTGTTTAAACTGGGTTGGTTGCTTGTTCTTTGCATCGCGTCGCGTCAACGCTTTATACGCGTTCAGCACAGCCAATGCGGCTGCGGCTGCGCTGAACATATCAGTGACTCGATCGACTAACCTAGGTCGTTTCAAAGACTGCGGTGCTTAAGATCTAATCATAGTTACATACCGATCAAATAGGTGTGATTGTTGCGGGAGCGCATCTCGCGGACCGCCTTTGGCGGCTCCGGATTGATCGTAACTGACCATTTTCGGTAAGAAAGCGTAACCCAGCTCGTCGACGGAGATGAATTTAGAAATGACTCACGAGTTGTTCTATGTAACACGGGATTAAAAGCCCGCTGCCCAGCTCGCAGTGGCATTGGTAGCCAGTGACTCCTGAGTTTTCGCTCAGAAAATCGGTCTCGAGTTCGCCGGTACCGTACTCAAGACTATGACGATCTTGTGAAGCCTTAGTGTTTCAGTTGGTTGTTGATCGTCACTATAACTCGGGTAGTTATATGTCTAAGAGTTGATCAAGTAGCGCTTGTGAAAGGTCTACCGTGAAGGAGGCTGTGCTAGATTTGAAAATTGATTTGGTTTCGTATGTTTATGAGGAAAGACGTTCTCACGAATACAGCAGTTTGTTCCGTTCAACTCGAGTTCGACAGATCCCAAGCATTTTTAGAGGAGCTCAATCTATGCTGCATCGTGCAACGAGCTAGACGTTCATCTCATTCTCAGGTTTGAATGCTTGTACAAAAAATCAAATTCACTTGGCCTCAAAAGTGTTGCTGTAAAAGTCGGATCCTTTCAATTCGTGTCGGAACCTCAGCTATAACGTGCTTCTGAGATGAGCGTCCATAAACTCCCTGGGTCGACGAACGAGCTCGAGAAGGCCCAAGCTCGTCGCCATCGTGCAGACGCTTCGGAAGACGAAGGTCCTCCCCTTTCCGACTCTGGCGACTCTTCCTCGACTGGCGATGATGATGACGAGAACTGGGACGACTGGGTGTCTGACTCGCAGAATAAAAGGCCATGCCTGTCCTTGTTTGATGGCTCTGAGCAGTCCAGCGCGGCGGCTGCACTTGCCTATGACAAAGAAAAGTTTAGCGTCGACTTACAAGCACTGATAGAACGTTTGGGTCTTGATTTCCACAGACGTGCACGTCTGATAAATTACATCCGCAAGGAGAAGCCAAGCGCCGTCGAAGTCAGCGCATTGACCGGGGAGGAGCCACTCTTCACGTCCGACGACTACCTCATTCCCGTTATTGAGGATGACCCATTGTTGCAGCTCGGATCGGGCGAGTGGTCCGATTCAGATTCCGAAGTAGATGCAAACACGACGGACAAGGACAAAGTGATTCGCAGTCTTTCGAGCAAGCTCGCGCGGGCGAAAAAAGATTTTGTCGACTTTAAATCTCTCGTCGAGAAACAATTTCGGGTCACGGAAGTTACTCAGGCGCTGAAGGAGGATACGGCCGGGCCGTCGTTGTCGACGGAAGGGACTGTAGTTAAAAGGGACGATGACACCCACTACTTCGACAGCTATGGGGTCAATGGTGCGTGTGTGCCTTTTCGCTTGTAAACCATAGTCTCAATAAACGCGAACAGAAATACACTGTGTTATGCTTCGTGACACGGTACGAACATCAACTTACGCATCGTTCATCATGAACTCGCCGGATCTCTTTCAAGATGCCATTGTGCTTGACGTAGGCTGTGGAACGGGAATCCTGTCGCTCTTTGCTGCTCGCGCTGGCGCGAAGCGGGTTTTTGCCGTCGATGCAAGCGAGAATATCGCACAAAAGGCTAGGAAAATAGTCAAGGCCAACGATCTTGACGATGTTATCACGTATGTGCGCTTATCCATGTTGCCGCGCTTTTGCTCATCTTTTTGTAGCGTAATAAATGGCAAAGTGGAATCTATCACGCTTCCAGACGGTATCACACACGTCGACGTTATTGTCTCCGAGTGGATGGGATATGCTCTTCTATACGAATCTATGCTCGACTCAGTCCTCGTCGCGCGCGACCGCTTTCTCAAGCCGAAGACCTTCGAAGACCGCGGCCGAGAAGAAAAGGGGAGAAGGAGAAAGGTGGCGTGCTAGTTCCAAGCCAAACACGCATGCTCCTGGGATTATGCTCGGCAAGCGAAGCTTTCAAGGAGAGGGTAGAATTTTGGTCAGACGTATACGGATACGACATGACTGCGATGACTGACGGTGTCTACGACGAGGCGGTTATCGACATTGTCGGGCCCGAGACGATGCTCAGTGACTCGGTTATCATTAAGGTGACTTTATTTACTGAACTTTATACTCGCTGGCTTACCCGGCGCAAAAACAGGATATCAATATCGGCACCGTCACACCGAAACAGCTGTCCTTCTCCGCGCCGTTTGAGCTGCGCGGAACGACTGCCCGACACACCGTCGCGCATGCGCTTCTGCTGTATTTCGACGCATTCTTCAGCATGGATGGTGCGCAGGTCTCTCCAGAGACACAGGCACATGCGTCGAGGGAAGGCGAGGCGATCCTCGCGGAGGTGTGGCGCGTCGGCTCGCCGAGCCGCAGGCGCTCCCCGTCTGCACCTCCGTCCCCCGCACGCGCAGAGCGCCTGCGCCGCGCGAGCAGTGTCAAAACGAAGGAAAAGGTAACGGTGAAGAGTTTCACGACAGGCCCCCAAAGTATTCCGACACATTGGAAGCAAACGCTGTTCCTGTTGCGGGAGCCAATCGTTGTGCACAATGGTACGTCCCCGGGCGCTCAGTTTGTCAACATTGACACCTTATGGGCGATGTGATAGGCACGGTCGTCTCGGGTACGTTCCACTGTCGCAAGAGCGAGGACAATTCGCGAGAGCTTGATGTGGAAATTCATTACGTCGTTCGGAATTTGGACGGCGACAGCGTCGACACCGCTCCTGGCGGGAGTGCGATGATTGTGCAGTCATACAAAGTGCGATAGACCTTGAAGCTTAAACCCCGGAAGTGGTTCCGAATGTGAGCTTGCGTTCTCGTGTTTTTCTCGGAAGAGTTCCTTGACAATCAATTTCTTCAATCGTCGATTCAGTCGTGCGGCGACACTTAAAAAAAGTAGATTCTGTCTGTTGCGGTGTCCTGATACACAGCATCGCGAAATACGCGGATCTTCAAATTAGTGCAGGTGAAACGATTAGTGACGGTTAGAAGACTCGCGGAAGGTGCGGTTTGCAATGGTTGTGTATGAAGTCTGAGAATCAGATGAGTGGGGAATAAAAGAAATGGATGTGTTGTACAATGCGGGTGAAGAGGCGCGAGCGACCCTGCATCCTGTTTACTAATACGTTATTTTGTCTAGTTGCTGCGTGTCTGATGCGCCTTGCAGAAAAGTATATTGCTGGATCCGCATACTTTCCGAAAGTCAGACGTGCCTTAAATATCTGCTAGGAGTCGGTAACTATACTCTGAAGAATGCTGTGTTCTCGGCGTCGATTCTATGCACATCTCGACGCTCAGCCAGTAAATGTGGGAAATGCGCAAGACTTTCTGG